TTTAGATATACCTAACATAAATACATTTAAAAAGTATAATTTTTGTAAAAAAAATATTTAAAAAATTCACTAAATACCAAAAATACAAAAAAAAAATGAAAAGTCAGTATATTTTTCGTATTTTTGTGTATTTATAATTTTTTAAAATATTTTCAACAAATATTTTACTTTTTAAATACATCTAAATAAGGTGCATCCAAAAAAGTAAAAAAAAATACTTAAAATTTTAAAAATATTTACTAAAAACAAAAAAAATGAAAAACAAAATGCTCAGTTTTCAAAAAACTGAATTCAAAAAGATGAAACCAAACACACTAAATTTCTAAAGAAATCTTTTCCTTCTTGTATGTTAGTTTGGAATTAGAATGTAAGAATTCAAGGTAGCGTTTGGTTAAAAATTAGAATCATAATTTGGAAAAAAAAAATTTAATTCATAATCAAACAAAGTTATTAAAACTCAATTTCAAAACTTATAATCAAACTCTTTTCAAAATTCTATTTTCTTTTAAAAAATCAAAAAAATATTTTTTTTTATTTTTTTCTTTAAAATTATTATTTTTTGAAAATTTATTTTTTTCAAAAATTATTTTTTTTTATTTTGAAGAAAAATATTTTTTTTATTTTTTCAAAAAAAATATTTTGTTATTTTTTAAGTCTTGACCAAATAATTTGTTATAATTTATACATATATAGGCCATCCAAAACAATTTTAAAGTAAAATTTACTTATAAATTCCATCTTAAGGAATAATGATCCGTTTAGTCCCAAATTTTTTTTTATAGACTAATTAATCCCATTGATTTTGAAAATGTAGATTTAACATATTATTTAGAAATTATATTTACGATTATACCCTTATTTCTATTATGTTTATTCTTCTTCTTCTTCTTCTTTTTTCTCCTTCTTTTGTGCCAGAAAGGTAAGATACACAATCTATGAGAATCAAATTTGTGATAAATTTTTGGGTAAATTACACTAACACCTCCTGAGGTTTCTGCTTAATACAGATCCCCTTCAAAAAATTCTGTTTCCATATACTTGCTTACCTTAATACACACACTTAATAAAATATTATTTTAATGACAATTATACCCTAAAGTAAAATAACCCTAATGGACATCAAAACACACTCATAATAAGTCAAAATTTTCTCTGTACTTTTCTCTGTACACATCATTTAAAAATTTTAAAAAAAAATCAATACACATTTTTTGAGTTAAAAAAAAATTAAATCCTAATTTTTCCATTGTTTCTTGGTTTAAATCGAGTGAAAGGATTATTAAATTTGTAGTGTGTGTGCTTACAAGTTTCATAGCCAACACAACGACTAATCTGTGAAAAAGTCACAAACTTTCATATCAGCACATGACCCTGTAGTATCCAACAGTTTCCTCAAGTGTTTGCAAATCTGAGACAAGTTGTTTCATCATTTTCTTCTTGTGTTTGGATCAACTAAAAAGAATTTACTCCACACAATGAGAACTCCATATTTTCAATATAGATGAAAGTTAAGAAACAACTTCAGTGAAAGATCAATGTTCAGTTGGTGAAGAGCATAGTCTACAAACTCGAATCCAAGACCCAGTATGACCATTTTCATACCAAAATTTAGCCACCATAGTCTACTTTTTTTGGATATCAATTGCCAAAATTATTGAATCTATTCGATAATCAAGTTCCGAAACCAAATTTGAAACTCAACTTTCGAATTTAAGAATTTATTTCAGAAATCAAGTTCCGAATTTTTTTACTTGTTTCGGAAGTTAAAAATCAAATAAACCTTTTTCATTAGGATAACCAGTATCAAATGAGCAAAATTGAATTTATTCTAGGAAATAACGAGGGTTTATGAAAAATAAGAGATAGATGGAGTTGTAGGTCTTTAATGGAGTTGTCAAAAGAGTATAGATAGACGAAAAATGAAATGAGAGGGAGATGCCACTTTCAACATTGAAATGGGTCTTCGGAGCGAAAAACGAAATGAAAGGGAGATACTCACTTTCAACAATGCGATGGGTCTTCAATGGAGTCACCGTGAGTCTTCTTCAATGGAGTTTGATGTTGCATCTTCAAGGTGGGTGTAATAGAGAATGGGTCTACACCTAGAACGAATGGTTTAGGTGGTTTGTATACAATGATGTTAGTTTAGGATATAATTGGAACATGTGATGTGTGGACTGAGAACAAAAACATAAAACCAATTTCATAAGTGTGTGCATTGAGAAATTAAGCCCACAAAGATAAAAAAGAGTGTGTGGAAATAGAATTTCGCATCCCCTTCACATTTGAAAAATTGCACTTACCCCCATATCATATTAAAATAACATATTTGCTCCTTAACCTTTATACATGTAAAATAATAAAATAATGTTGATATTTTGTTCATGTTATCATCTTCTTTGGTTTAACTCACACAAAAAATTATTATTTTTTTAAATTTTCATTTTTTTTTAATTTTTACTAAATTTTTTTAATATTTTAAAAAAAATTATTTTTTAGATACACCTAATCTAGATAATACTTAAGAAGTATAATATTTTGTGATTTTTTTTTAAAATTCACCAAATACAAAAAAAATACAAAAATTCAATAATACTGTAATAAATGTGAATGACGATGTTTGGTAATATTGTAATAAATGTGGGTGAATAGACGAGAAAAAAAAATGATGTTGGAAATAAAAATGAAAAATTATATTCATATATAAAAATTTATACAAAAATATCATAAAAATATTGTGATAACAATGTTATTATAAATATAAATCATGTTTATAAATACTTTGTTTTAAAGTGAAATGTCATTATTAAGCTATATCATTGTATTTGAAAATTTTATTTAAAATTTATGTTTGTATATCATCACTCAAAAAGAATATATTCAGGTAGAATTTAATGATGAAAAGTTATAGAATGTAGTCATGACGATAGAAAGAATAAATGATAAGAAAAATGACAAAATGATTATTTAAAAAATTTCAGGGCATGACATCAGCAATCTAATGGGCAATTTGTAATGAGATCAGGGAGAGGAATGTAATTTTTCAAACGTAAGGGGGAGATCTGTATTAAACAGGGTGTCAATGTAATTTACCCTAAATTTTTATATGAGAATCTTTTTTATTTGAAAAATATTTCAAAATGAGTACAAAAATGACTTAAAATATGAGATTATTCAAACATTTCAAAAGGATGTGAGATTCTTCAAACATTTCAAATGGATGTGAGATTCTTCAAACATTTCAAAAGGAGTACAAAAACTCTTTAGTGAGTTTTGGGTAAATATATAATTTCAAATTGTAACAATCCAATGTAACACTTTAAAAAATTCTTTAATGTACTTTTTCTAAACATAACACTCTAATATAACATTCCAAAAGAATTGCTTAGGGTAACACTTCAATGTAATACACAAAAAAATTCCTTAGTGTATTTTTTCCAAACATAATGCTCCAACGTACCATTCCAAAAAAAGTTTGTGGAATTTTTCAAACCATTTCAAAAGAATGTGAGATTCTTCAAACTATTCCAAAAAGAGTACAAAAATTTCTTAATAAATTTTGAACAAATATATAATTTCAAATTATGAGTGTTATTTTGGAAAAAGTACACTATGGAGTTTTTTAGTATTTTTGTATGTGTTACATTAGAGTTTGTTACATTTGAATGTTACGTTAAGGATTACATTGAATAGAGTGTTACGTTTGAAAAAAATATACTAAGATATTTTTTTGCGTTATATTGGAATGTTACGTTTGGAAAAAAATACACTAAGGAATTTTTAGTGTGCTACATTGGAGTGTTACGTTATTGAAGTGTTACATTTTTATTCGTAATGTGAGATTTGTTCCAGAAAAAGGGAAAATCCAAAACATTTATAGTACAGATTGTACAAATGAGTAATTTCACATTTGGAGAAATCCACTTTTATCGCTCAAAAATTAAATTCAAACGTATAAGTGATTATTCTGTCGTGTAACTTCCATTTTAATGAGACCTTGGGGTTCATAAGAAAAAGAAAGGATTAGATGGTTCACAAGATCACATTTTTTTAGGATATATTGGTGCTTCACCCTTTTTAAAATTTAAAAAAGAAAACTTACAAAAATTAAATATTGAAAAAAATAATAAAATATATTTAAAATAAAAAATTTAAATTTTTTTACATTTTAAAAAAATAGCACACAAATGTAGTAAATACGGGGCACATTAAAAAAATAAATATTTACAATAAAAAATATTTACCCTAAAAAAATAAAAATGAGAAATTTTTTAAATATTTAAAAATAAATAAACCCAAAATAATTTCAAAATACAACTCAAAACTCTTAACCAAACAAATTTTCTCTTTTCAAAACTCATTTTAAAAATTCAAAACTCAAAATACGATTCAAAACTCAAATCACAATTCAAAAATTAAACCAAACAAAAAAATTTCTGTTTGATTTGAGCAAGGATTGGAAAAAGAAAAAATTATGCAGACAATATAGTTAAACAAAAATGAAGTTAAACAAAAGGAGGACAATGTGGGTACTGATTCTAATTCTATATAAATCTGACCATTTTTCATGGGATTCCAAGATACTTTTTTTCAAATCGTGCCGAATCAAATTTAATTTTACATTCCATCCATACCAAACATTCAAAATTTTCACTTTCAAAAAAAAAAAAAAAAGAGCCTTTTCTTTACAAAGAATGGCGAGCTACAGTTAGTAAGATCAATGTAGACGCGTGACAAAAGTTTAAGATTCTGTCCTTGGCAGATACTACATTCAACAGAACAATTGCTTCGAGAAGGAAAAAAAATTCAATAACAATAACAACAGCAACAACAAAAACAAAAACACTTCTAAGCTTCCAATGAATTTATTGAACTGAGAAACAATGCTACAAGTGCCAAATTGAATGGGTGAGGAATCTGAATAAGAGATGCAAAGTTGACCTCACATATGAGAATTAGAGCACTAAATGATTTGATACAATACCATTACATGTATCAGATTGTAAACAAAACCGTACTTGTATCACAAACTTGTCTAAGATGCCGAAAACCAAGGTTGTGACATTTTTAAGTATCTGAAATGCTTTCATACACATTGAATCATCAAAGCCTATAAACTTGGTGTACAAAGAGATTAATAACCAAAACTGTTCTTCCTCTGACACCTTCACTAGATCACATATGCAGTCTTTAATCAAAAACCGAAAAATTTGGATGCATTTTCTAACAATGGCTCCAAAGTGCTCGGAGCAAACTTTCTTGCCAAAAGAAAACAAACCGAAGATGGCTGGTTATTGTAAAAGCAATTTTGGCCTTCCAAAATTCTCTTGAAAAATTGCTCATTAATGTCAGCCTTCCCAAACGTAGCCGGATGAGCACCACCTCTTGACCAGTCCACCCAAGTGAGACTCCGGTTAGCCAAGAGATGTGGAGATTGGATGCTCAACATGGTTGGGAAATAGTGCTCATCCACGTAACACGCTGGTCTGCAAAACTTTTCAAACTTAGGGTAGAAAATGTGATCTTCAACAATGTCGATTGCTAGTTTACGATCAACTTCAAACCATTGGGAACCTTTACGCCATTCGGTGAGGTTGACCTCAGGTGCCATGTTTGCATTATAGCGCCCTCTTCCAAAGGGCCCATCTTCATCAAATGAGCCAATGAAGCTGTACCATGATCTTGATAGGTAGCGATAAATGACGTCGAAGTTTTGAAGAGGAATGCATGCCTCGGATGCGAGGACAAACCATTCGTTGGAAATGTCAAGCAATGCGTTGGCTAGGAGTCTTCTTTCAGCATCACACATGCTCATCCTTCCCCACTCAGCTACCTACATGGAAACAAGTCCAAGAACAAGGACGATGACAGTGTGTACTCGAAACAGAGGACAGGAAGAAGAAGAAGAAGAAGAAGAAGAAGAATAACAATATCGATCAAATATTAGTATCTATGTTACACGGACTTGGGTATGAGTATTGTGTGCCAGTGCATGTCCAAGCATCAAATCTTCCTAAACTTAAATTTTAAGATACTGGGATATGCATCCAAAAGTTTGGCATGAGTATGGGGACACATCTCAGAAACATATATTGCATATGATACAATATTATGGGATAAGATGTAACTTATTTAGAAATGCACTTCAAATTAAATGGGATTTAGGAAAAAAACAAAATTTATCTCTCTCATTCATGTAAGAAGCTGCAAAATTTTCCTTTACTAGTGAATGTGAGCGTCTTGTTCTTCAACAATCTCTCTACAATATGGTTGGATTTGGAAGTCCTTGTTTCACTGTTTTCCCTTATCCAGTTTATTGCCCTAAAAAAGAAACCTATCTATATGAATATAGTCTTTGCCTTGAGCATACATTGGATGCAACATGTAGTATAATTCAATGTCAGGGTAGATAAGCAACCTTCCAATGGAAAGCTGACAGAATAAATAAAACAAATTATGTATAAATTAATGATAAACAAGCCAAAAACTCAAAGACCAACATATAGTTACAATCTAGTCCGGCAGTTTAGAAAATGTCGAAATTTTAGTAACTGAGTCTATGGGTTGCAAGTTGCAAGTAATTCATGCCACATGATTTCGTACTGAGGTGTTAGCCATAAGGCTTGCAAATAGCTATCTATCAGAAATGTTACTCATATCAAACAAATGAGAGAGAAAGAGAGAGAGAAAGGTAGTCCTACTGGCAAAGAGTACAATGCTCAACCACATGTTCTAATTTCCTCATGTTAATGCCAACTATAAAGCATTAAACTATTGAAGTTGTAAACTAGTAATTGTTGTTTAAGATACATGTGTAATCACCTAATGAATGTGCAAACAACTATCAGAGAATTGAATGTTGGTGTGCACTAGAAACAGGAAGAAGTATCTAACTTATATGATAGTCACCACCACAATAGATAGATAGCTGATAATACACAATCCCAGTAAATAAAAAAATTATCAAACCACTAAATGGATATAAATTAAGACGGGACATCTAAAGGACCCAAATTGATTTTTTACTCAATAAACTAGAGGGCAAAAGAGGTCTCATCAGTACATCAAGACTAATAATAAATGAATTTTCACTTTTATATAATACTTCATCCTTTGATTCAGGTAATTACCATTCAGAAATAAACTGATGGATAATATAATAGCATCTAAACCAAATGGTGAAGGATTTCAGTGTCGTTATCAAATATTTTTCTATTTGTTTTTATCTTTCAGAAAAAGAGGGAATTTTCTATTTTGTCATTAAATTCAATACAATATTAAATAACAATAAAAAATAGGAGACTAAGTCTCTTTCTCGCATCCATTCTCCATAATCGATCTGGTTCACTACAGTTAACCGCCTGTCACAGAAATATGAATAAAGTGATACAACGAATCAACCCAAACTATGATCAAAACTTTAAACTAGACCCACCCCACTTAAAATGATTTGATTTATGGTCGCGGGGTGCCATTGGGAGGCAGGAATGTTATTTTCCACTAAATGGTAATGGATTTTAGTGTCCTTATGTAACATATCATAGTGAATTACTAATTCATTTAACCAATTTTTTCACTGTTAACCATGTAACACTACAAGATTGAGAAACCATTTAGAGAGAACATTTGGCATGTAATCAGTAACTGATCTAAATGAAAGTCCATTATAGAGTGTTTTTGACAGAAGGCAAAGCTTCCCACGCATTTACAGATTGACAACTAGGCTAAGAATTCCAGACAATATTGTCCAAACAAAGAAACAAACAAGAAGTTAACTAAAAGACTAATAAATGAACAGGAAAAAGAAACACTAACTCTAACCACCATATATTAGAAATCAATCCAGAAACTTAGTTAAAATTGAATTCACACATAGAATATTGTGGAATAGTCAACAACATGCTAAAACAGAGGAAATGTAGCGGTTACTGATACCTGACTCGGGATTTGCCTTCCATAGAAAACCGATGAATGCAAGAAATCTGGTTGATAAGTTGGCAGTGAATGAATGTAGATCGAATAAAGCCCCTCGTGCCCTTTAAAGAACCTTTCCCATAGGGGTGCCATTGGCAATGGTCCTCTTGTCAAGAACATGAAAGCAATTTTGGCAGTTCTATTAAACGGGTAATCTTTTATTCGAGGTACAAACGAAGCCTTCCAAAACAGCTCAGTGTCATTCATCGTATGAAGTAGTTTGGATGGAGGCCTAATCCAACTTTCTAAACTTCTTGCCTCTCCATAACAGGGTTGGAATGTGGATTGTATTGCTGGAACTACATTTTGGGCTCCGAGATAACGGATCATATACATACTCAACATCGAAAACACAATGCAAATACCCAAAAAGACCAAGAGAAATTGCAGAATTCTCAATGGTGAACCCCGAGATTGGCTTGTTCTAATAATGGTGGTGGAAGGGTCTTTGCCTTCCTCCAACACCAGTAGCCTAGATTGCATCTTCAGAACAATTTAACCTCAAAACTCAATTATGGGTATTCTGCATTTGGGGATTTTACACACATAAATGACCTTTAAGTCACAAACTCACATCTGAAATGAGAATTTCCAAAGAGAAACAGAGAGGGCACTGAAATAGGATCTCACAATGAGAATAGAGAAATGGGTAAGGGTGTGTTTGATTAACAAGGCTCTCTTCAAACAAGAGAAAGCCCTTTTGATGATATATCACAAACTCCCCAAGATCATCACCACTGACAAAAAGGAGAGATGGGTCTGTCCTTTCACCACATGGGTATGTCCCAAATACAAAAATCTCAAATCAAAACAAAAACTTTTTGGGAAACAAATATCTCACCCGGATCATGAAAACCAAAAATGTGAGGTGGGAAGTTTCCTTACCATAAAAAGGTTTGCCAAACATGAAGTTACTTATCTCAAAACAGGAAAGTTTTCCTTCAAAAACAAGATTTTCTATCAGATTTTCCAGGAAAATTTTGGAAGAACACAGAACATGATGAGATTAGAAGAAAAGGAAAGAAAAAGGGGGGGGTGCTGGTGTTACCATGTGATGTTGGGGGAGTTAATGAATGAGAATAGGGAGAAGAATAATCAAAGAACTGGGTTTTTTTCACACAAAGTTTGATTGGGTTCTCAAATCGCGCCAGATTTTGACAAATGGGAAAATGATGGGTTTTATAGAAGAGGTTTAATGGGCTCTTCTATACGTTTATATATAAATATATATATATCATGAAATAGAGCTAGACGAAACTGAAATTGGAAAGATAGAGAAAGAGGGAGGGTCCTGATGATTGGGAAGGAGAGAGAGAGAGATGGTGTGTTGGCAACAAGCCAGCGTCGGGAAAAACAAAGGAGATGTTAGAGGCGATTTTGTCTTTGAATTGAACCGAAATCATTGCTTTTGCTACATAGGTTGTTCTGTTTTAAGACACTGTTTGTTTGAGAATTGATTTATATTTTTTTAATTTTTTTATGAGGTGAAAAGTAATTTATTTAGGGGGAAAAATATTTTTTTGGAGAATTTTTTTTGTATGGTTGATAATGTTGGTGGTGGGTAGGGGTGCAACTCGGACGGGTTGGGAGGTTGTCCAAGCCCAGTCCAAGTTGTGTAGAGACCTGTCCAAGCCCGCCCAAGCTCGAATTGTAATCCGAGGTTGTGTAACCCGAGATTGTCTGCCCAAGCCCGACTTGAATTACCTAAATTGCCTGAATTATAAATGAATTTCAAATTTTTTTTTGACAGCTACATTATTAAATTATTAAAATTTGACTCTATTTATAATTTTTTTTATTTATAGAAAATCATTAATACCATCAAAATAAATAATTTATATAATGTAAGAGAGATGCCACTATAGTAGTCTTTACAATTTATGAGTAAAAATAAAAATAAAAATAAAAAAGAGTAAGATTTTATGTTATTTGTATATATAATATATATTCAATATAATTTAATAATATAAATTACTTTAATATCACGTAATGGCTAATAATTTATATGTATATTTAATATTTTTATATATCTATATATATAATTCGGTTTCGGGTTGCTCGGGTTGTTTGACATCTTTGTCCAAACCCGTCCAAATTTAATTCGGGCTTCTGAATTTTTGCCCAAGCCCGTACCAAATTTGAAAAAATTTTGTCCAAGCCCTAAAAAAATTCGGACTGGACTCAGGTTACTCGGGTTGAGCCCGCCCAAGTTGCACCGTTAGTGGTGGGACAAAGGTAGAGGTGAAGGGAGTAACATGGTGGTGGCGGTGACCGCGGTGATGGCAGTGAAAATGACCGTGACCGCATAGTGCAGTGATACTAGTAAAATTTAATTTGAAAAATATTTTTCACTTTTTAAAAGTAAAAAATATTTTCTTTTCAAATAGAATTATGTTCCATTGATTATGAAATATATTTTCATTAATTTTCATTTTTTATTATACTAACTAGTAAAAAATACAACAAATATTTTTAAAAAATTATTTTTCTCCTAGATAGACGTAACGTTATAAATAACATTTTTTAATTACATCAAAAAAACGTAAATTGTATAATTAGTGTCTATAATTTGTTTTTCAGGGATTTTATTTATTTATTTATTTTTAAAATGACCCCTCAATCTTATCATACGTGCATGGATCCAGAAAAAAATAAACAACAATGATAGAGACCACTAATTTTGGAACTCTAAAAAGAGCACTAATGACATGGCACTCAATAAAAAAAGAAAAAAAATACAATACCAAGGCCAAAACATCAAATCATTCCTGGTGGGGCCCACTGCCACATCATTAGTGATAGCACTAATTAGTGCTCTCACTCATTTTTCAAAAACAAATAAATAACAAAAGCTTTTTCAAAGAATGAAGGGAAATGAAACAGATTGGACAGATCATAATCTTTTGTTATGATTTTCCCTGTGATGTTATTGTAATAATTTAGCCTCCGTTTGGGAATTGGGTTGACTTTTTAACTTTTTGATTTTTTTGGCTATTTTAGCTTGGGTTAAAAAGCTTGGTTTGGGAAGGACTTTTTGATTTTTTGACTTTTTTGACATTTTTTGTGAGAGAAGAGTGTAATGATTATGGGTTGGATGTGATGTTTTGTTTTTTGTGGTTAAAATAGCCTATTTTGTCTTTTGTGGCTAAAATAGCCAAAAAAAACCCCAAACTCTTCTTACCAAACGAACCCTTAGTTGTCTATGCTTAAAAGTGAAGGAGAATTAAAATTGTGTTAATTTATCACAAATGCTAATAAGTATTTTTGGGATACTTGTTAAGACACAATAAATGATTGTTATAATAAAGACAATGGCCCCGTTTGTTTTGGAAAATAGAATGAAGGAGATTGATAGTGAGGAGATTAATACCCATTTCCAAATTTCATTCCAATCAAATGATCCACGACTGCCAATATATCTCGCGGCAACAAAAATGTATTGTTCTGAGGTATATCAAGGGTCAGCCTTCGGTTCATATTTCGTCAACCAAAGCTTCCTAATTCACATCTTTGTTGAAAGAATTTCTTTTGTAATTCCTTACATAAGAATTCAGAAAATACCGGATTCCCGCCTACACAAGCAAATTGTTGATAAAACTCAAAAATGCCATTTTGGAGTTTTATCAACAATTTGCTTGTGTAGGCGGGAATCCGGTATTTTCTGAATCCTTATGTAAGGAATTACAAAAAAAATGCTTTCAACAAAGATGTGAATTAGGAAGCATTGGTCGACGAAATATGAACCGAAGGCTGACCCTTGATATACCTCAGAACAATACATTTTTGTTACCGCGAGATATATTGGCAGCCGTGGATCATTTGATTGGAATGAAATTTGGAATGGGTACACTTGATGATATGAATCATTTGAAAAATAAACGTATTCGTTCTGTAGCGGATCTTTTACAAGATCAACTTGGATTGGCTTTAGTTCGTTTAGAAAATGGAGTTCGAGGAACTATATGTGGAGCAATTAGACATAAATTGATACCGACTCCTCAGAATTTGGTAACTTCAACTCCATTATTATCGGGGACGGGGGGTCGGGTCCCCGTCGGGTCGGGTTCAAATTGCCATCCCTACTCACTATCAAACCCAATCCCCTCTCCATAACCCCAAACAAACGGGACCAATGAGGCTTGTTTTGGGGAGTACTAGAAAAACTGATTTTTTTTTTCCTTATTATGAAAGATGTGAAAAAAAATAAAATAAAGAGTTGATATAACTCAAATAAATCAATAAATCAATAACTTAACTTTTTTTATACTTCCTTAAAGAGACCTAAATATTAGGAAGAATAACAAATAAGTCTTATTTTTCTCAAGTCTTATCAATATTTTATTAGGACAACTCATACTTCAACACTACATTAATATTATCCTTTCTTTCTTCCACCTTTATTCTTTTCCTTTCCCATGGAAATTAATTACACTTCTACTCACAATTTAATGATCAATTTTAGTGAAAAATCATAATAGGATCTCAAAAATTATACTTTTTTCGTCTCAAAATAATAGTCCATTTTAAAAGATGGGTAATGCTAGGGACACCAAATTTTCTACCAAACAAATGACCAAATGTCTCACATGGGTGTGGGGTCCGCAATTTTGTGGGCCCCACATCCATGTGAGACATTTGGTCATTTATTTGGTAGAAAATTTAGGACCTCTAGCATTTTCCTTAAAAAATTTAACTTCTTTTTAGTAGTATAATTATTAGACTTTAAAAATATTAATTTTTTAAAATTAGCGTTTGATAGTACATTTTTTGAAAATATCAATGTCATAATTGTACTTTTTGTGTTAATGAATTTAAAAGAATGGCAAAATAAAAAATTTCTACTATTGTAGTCCTTGATTTTTGAAATTGGACTAATATTTTAGGACAATAAAAAATGAAATAACAGACTAATATTTTAGGACGGAAGGAGTAAACCATATCATTTCACTGTGTTTGGCATTTAATTTTCAAAAACAATTTTTTATCTTTAATTTATTTTTAATTAACTCTTTTTTAATATTTTAGTCAATTTTTTTAATAATTTTTTAGATACACTTAATTTAGATGTACTTTTTTTAACATAAATTTAGATGTACTTAAAAAGTAAAATATCTATAAAGAAATTTTTTTAAAATTCAATAAATACAAAAAAAAAATGTGAATGTGCTAATTTTTATATTTTTAAATATTTAGTGAATTTTAAAGAAATTATAAATTTCATATTTTTTAGGTATATCCAAACTAAGTGAGTGGAAAAAATAATTGAAATATTAAAAAAGTTTAAAAAGTATAGATTAAAAACTCAAAACTAAATGAAATGATTAATAGTGACTTGAAAATTAGAATTCAACTGAAATTTAAAGGAAAATTAGAAGAAAAAAAAAACTAACAGAATAAACTAGAGATATTAAATGTTGATTTTCTTAAATGTCACGACGGGTATAAGAGGAATATAAGATTAAAATAATAATAATAATAATAAATTGTGGAAAGATTTTATTCAAAATAGGACTAAATTGTCCTAATAAAGAATTGGTAGGATTGAGTGGTTTTTTTTGAAGAAAAATAAGACTAATTGATTGTTTTTCATAAATATTATTGTTTAATGAGCCTACTAACAATTTTTTTGAAATAACAGTTAAAGTAATAAGATATGTCATTTAAAACAACTCAACAATATTGTAAATGACAAAAACAACCTAACTTGACTTTTCATTTAATCTATTAAAAAAAAAACTTCATCTATATTTGATAAAAAAATTTACACATCAAACCTAACTCTTCATTTAACTTTGAATTTTTTTTATATTTTTATTAATCTTGGATAGAGAATAATAAGTTTTTTGAAAAAAAAATTAATTAGCAATTATGTTAACTTATTTTTCATATCAAAATTATTTTTTTATTTAATCCTTTGTTTAAAAAAAATTTGGGACAATTATAAAAAAAATCTCAGAGTTTGAGCCATTTAACAAAATAAACTCTGAATTTTTAATTTTATCATTTTAAACCCTAATCTTTTAATTTATTTTCAATCTAAACTATTTATCCATTTTTGTTAAGGAAAACCGACAAAAAAAGAGCATTTTAGTTATTAAATTCAATATAGATATACATAAAATGTTTAAAATATCATTTTCATTGAGTTTAATGATTAAAATACCTATTTTTTCATCGATTTTACTTAACAAAAATAAGCAAATGGTTTATATTGAAAACAAATAAGAAGTTTAGGATTTAAATTGACAAAATTAAAAATTCAGGATTTATTTTGTTACAAGGGTCAAATTTTGAGGTTTTTTTTGTAATTTTCTCAAAAAAATTTAACCATTGAGTTTGTTGAGGTCAAATAAAAAATAAATTCATGAAGTAAAAAAAAATTAAAAATTGAAGGGTCAGCTCATA